CTAAAACCATGGAATTGGGGAAACTGCCAAAGACATCATTTTTGGCCCTTCAGTTAAAAGCTTCTTACTGATTTAATCAATTGCGGCAAATAACCTTCTTCCACCTCGTTGAGGTTTTGTATCCAGCTGCAGAAATCAGGAGACGCCCTTCTGGATCGATTTTGCTTGCCGATGATGTGAATGTAGAGCTCTGAGTGTTCACTGCAGATGTGAAATTCAAAAGTAGCATAGGAGAACATGTGTGACACACTAATTGTTGGCCTAACTCTCGATTTTGGTAACAGTCTACTTGGGGCTGCGTCACTGTACCCCCGCCAACCGGCCCGGTATTCGGGCCATGACAGTAGCCCCGAAGCCCTTCTCTAGGTCCCCAATGCGTTCCCTCAGATTGATACATCATCTTTCGTCTTCAGGAAAGATTATGAGCATTACATACATACTACCAACGAAAAGGAAGTTTGAGAGTTTGCTGAAGTGTACCACAAGCTGCGCAACGGAGCGAAAGCACAGCCCGCCACGTTTGAAGCACCGCTTGGTCCACCAAACAGTTAAACAAAGCACAAAATCACCACTACAACTTTGATTATTTAATCAGGCTAATCGTGACCTATTATTGTGCCTTATTGTATTACTTAGGTGATTTCTTGAAATTCGGCTTCATTATTCATCTTTCTCAAGGATGCACTGAGTTTAGTTTGTACAACTACCGTATATAGAAGTTAAGACCCCAAAGTTATTCATTTTTTTATAAAATGCCGCAAAACACATTACCAGTTTTGATTTTTGATAAACACAAGGATCTTGTTTAAATTTGTCCCTCCTGCGCCGCATAAATAGGTGGCCTTTGAATTCTTGTTGAGGATTGTCGGTGCCGGGTTTTTCACATAGGTTTTGTTCCACCTTTTCCCTTTGTATTTTTCTAAACTTGCCATGTGCAAATAATCCGTTAGTCTCCTTATTCATTTTTCTTTCATACCATTTTTTTAGGTTTTGGTATAACTGTACTTTTACTCTAACATGTTTCGCGGGTTGCAGTTGTTGTCGGCTCATGCTTTCTTACGGTCCGTGTGCCGTTCATCGCAACCAACTTCTAAAGAAGCTTTTCGGTAGTCTTTTTACTTTATGAATTTCCTGTTTTGTTTCTAGTCACCTAAAATCTCCTGAATTATTAACTAATAACTTTCTCAGTGCATTCGCGAGCTTTTTTATCGTAGCCGTATTTATTTTGCATCATTGCCCATAAACGCAGTTATTGTTATACGTAGATAACCCTTTGCAGAGAGAATGGCATCTAGTTGGTATTGCTCATAATTCGTAGCTTTTTTCTCTTGTTACAACTTAATCCTCTATTTCTAGCGTGATTAAACTTTCGCCAGCACACCACAAGATTCACGCATCAAGTTATCTTAATGCTATACGAACTATTAATGTGCCTTCCTTCCCCGAATCAATCTCGGAGGGAGATATTGCTTGGAAAAAGTTAGTTGGTGATGCTGTGCAAGTAGACGAGGTGATTGCTGAGGTTGAAACTGATAAAACGTCTATCCCTGTCGTATCGCCAGTGAATGGTGTCGTTTCAGAACTTCTTTTTGAGGAGGGCGATAAGGTAACCTACGACCAACCGCTAGTCAGAATTGACGAACGTGAAGTTACTCCCTGTAAGACCCCTCCCTCTACGAAACCTAAGGAATCAGCTCTCCCAATGAGTGACGTATCCACTTCAGCAGCACCTTTACCCACTGAACAGAAGCGAGAGTCGTCTTCTCGTTTTACATCGCCTGCAGTATCCCCGCCACGTCCATCTCACGTGCCCGGACTCACACCTTTATCCCCAATCTCTGCTTTTCCGGTTAGAGCCCGGATCGAGCAGCGCATTAAGATGACGCGAATTCGCGCCCGCACTGCTGAACGTCTGAAGGAGGCACAAAACACTTGCGCTATCCTAACCACTTTTAACGAGGTCGATATGTCGAATCTGATCGATATGCGCACTCAATACAAGGAAGCATTCTTTAAAAAGCACGGCGTCAAACTAGGTATCATGTCGTGCTTCTCTAAGGCAGTGGTATTTGCCCTGCAGGATCAGCCGATTGTTAATGCGTACATTGACGGCAATGAAGTCGTATACAGAAATTATGTCGATTTGAGTATCGCTGTCGCCTCGCCCAAAGGTCTCGTTGTTCCCGTCTTGCGCAACGTTGAATCCATGAACTTTGCCGCTATTGAGCGAGGGATCTTTGATCTGGGCGAAAAGGCTAAGAATGGCCACATAGCAGTAGAAGACATGGACGGCGGCACATTTACAATAAGCAATGGAGGCGTTTTCGGCTCCCTCTTAAGCACTCCCATCGTTAATCCGCCCCAGTCAGCGATCTTGGGACTTCACGGCACTTTTGATCGTCCGGTTGTTCGGAATGGTCAAGTTGTGGTCAGGCCGATGATGTACGTGGCTTTGTCTTACGATCACCGATTGATAGATGGCAGGGAAGCTGTTTTGTTCCTTCGAAAGATCAAGTCTTTCGTAGAAGACCCACGCGTGTTTTTCTTGGACCTATAATGGAATTGCCGTGCATTCCGCCGGCGAAACGATGCTATTAATGGTACCTATTTTATTGGTCTACATGACCTCACTCCAGTTTCACTCTTTCCCCACTCTCTTTAGCTTCATCATCAAAGCCTGATGCAGCTTGCTGTACGATATGCTTTTATTATTGATGATGTGGTTGGCTTTTTGTAGTTAGAGCTTGTCACTTTCTCTAGTAGTATAAGTGAATGCGTAATCTTAGCACACAAGCTTTTGCTCATTCCTTTGGTGTAATGCTTCGCGCATGGAAATTGCCCTATCGGCGACCACTTGGTATGGTATGGAATCAGGTGATTCATTTTCAGGAGCAATGCTCGGGTAAATATAATTCTCTAGCAAACCCTTTTTAAGTCCATATTTATGAATATCTCAATAACCCTGGCGAATCCCTCGACTATTCGGTTTTGTCACTTTGTTTCGGCATTGGAGTAGTTTTGATGATTTCGTGTGTTTGTAAAAGGTGAATCTGATGGCATACGTATTGGGAGTCATGGCCGACTGTGCGTAATTAATCCTCATCACGTTGGGTGGATCTGGTCATGTAGTCCCTCAACTGGGGCAGCAATCGTGCTTTATGCATTTTCTCAAAAGTTGCTCTGGATTTCATAATTGAATAGGTTATCAACTCTAGTTGTCTTCAAACTGGTTGTCGGTTCATCCGTGTGGAAGGTTAACACTTCGCATGCCTCATTCTCATTTCATCAACCCGCTGGGATGGCAAGTGTCTTAACTGTAATTTGAGGGTTCTTCTGGCGTACACACAGATGCGCCTGTTTTCTTGTTCAAATTTTAGTATTAATGCTTTCGCATGTAGCCCCCGCGTATGGGAAACATGAGATATTAGCCTGAAATAACGTCGGGGAAATTCGGTCATTTACTCTTCACCTTCTCATTTCCAATTAATTTATTCAGAGTAGGCGTCTTGTTGGCTTGTAGAGGCACTTTTACTTATCAAATTGCAAGTTCGTACTCACGTACGCGATTTGTGCTTTCAATAATGCACGATGCAGCGATGAGCGTTCGAGGGATCGAGTGGCACTTTTGGCTAACACCCGGGTCGGTGTAAGCGGCAAAGCATTATGTGCTAGAGGCAAAGTGGACAGGTACAGGCTCATCTACCCTGGTCGTTTTACACTTCTTTTTCATCGAATCATTGCTAGGTGTTTGTTCAGCCATCCACTCCCATTTGACATTGGTCGTTTGCATCCACAGCTTCACGCGCGGAGATGTAGCCTATCGTAATTGGGTGGGGCGTGTCATCAATGCGTTGCGGTGGCCCTACCTAACACGGAGTCCAATGGAGTGCGCAGAGCGCAGTGTAGCGAGATGGCCTGATGCGCTTGTTGTGACATTTTTCGGACGGTGTAGGTACCAGGTGGGCCGCGATTGCACTGTGCATTAGTCTGGCACAAATTATGGCGACCTTGTTCACCATCTGGTTGCTCGGCGTTGCACAAGTCGTATCAGCACTTTCTGTGAGTTGAACTTGCTACAGTTCGGAATAATAGTGTCATTTACACTATTAATCGACCCAAAAGTGTCCCCTTGTCATTTCCACTTAAGTCTCCGTTGATGTAACCAGGTCATCCATTCTGCAAGCCTGTGTCATTTTGTCCCTCACATTTTACCGCTTGCGGATCCCCGGCAGAACGATCATTACACTTTCCAAGAAATAAATATTCAAATGCAAAATCATAGAAGTTGCGGAGTTGATAAAAGACTAATTTGTTTTACAAGCACTCAGAAAGCCAACATCGATTGTAAGGACCGAATTCGCAACTTCATCTGCGTGGCAACTGCTGTTATGTTAATTTAAATGGATGAATCTATGCCTCAAAAACGAGTTTGAAATTACCATTTCAGCCGGGAGGAACACTCTCTCTCTCGTTTTCGTTTGCAAGCCTTGATGGAGCACTGGCCAGCGGAAATGATTGCGACGTTTTCGATTCTTGCGATTTATACTTTATTATTTGTGTTAAAACAGAAGGCAACAGGTACGCTTACAAACACTTTGTATTCACTTCCTAATAAACTAAGGAGAGCAAAGGTTCCACAATACGAGTAGGAAGTGGTATGCATTAGTTCCCCTATTCTGCCAGTCTACCAGGAGTTATTATTGCTTCTCTTAAACAGCTTCCATGGACAACTATGTAGCTATCGCTAAACTATGGTACCATCAACAAGGTCGGACTAAAGCATTCCTTGTTTAAGTTTTAAATTTGTCCTTAATGGCAAGTGTTGTAATTGCGCTCTTCATACGCCTAATTTAAGGCACAATAGCAGACGGTGAACAAGAATAATCCGGTGGAAAGTCTAATTTTCATTGCTGACAAACCACATGGGCGCTTCAACTAAGCTTTGTAAGCGATGCAGCTGCCGCCAAGCATGAAATAGCAACATTTTCATTTTATTAAGACATCTCGAAATGTTGCGTAGCATTTAAATTGTCTTTAAGTGAATAAAAGCTGGAAGGATTGTCAATATTTTGGCCACTTTTTAACAAGTAACGCCTGTTCGAGGTTATGCTTTGCTAAATTTCAAGGTCCCCAATAAATGTACCTCGTGGAATTGGTAAATTTGTGGATTCACGTCTAGAATGCTTAGCAGTCTAACAAATGCTCGTAAACGATTCAAGCTGTTAAACAATGTGAAGGCGTAAAAAGCAATTAGCAATTAAGATGTATTTGTTTTAAGGATTTTGGGAAAGGACTAGATTTTGCATAACACGACGTTTGGCGACCTAATTTATGACCCCTACGTGGACACTGCGGTCCCAGATCACTCTCAATTGAGGCTGCGGTCATTTTCGCCACGAATTATTTGGTCTCCTAGAGTAAGGTGATTGCTAATAGATTATATTATGTCCGCCTAGAGGCTGTGATATTTTCAACAGGACCACCTCGCGGATTACAAATGCTGGAAACGTCACATTTGACGATGAGACCATGCTTCATTTTTCGTTCAAAGCGCCAACAAACGTAAGTAGTAGACTTAATTCTATTGCCAATGGCCATGCCCATACCCCATCTTCTGATTTGTTGTCAATGGTTGTGTTTACAAATGGGATGATTCCCGACCTTTAGCAAAGCTCTGGCCGTATACGCACATTTAGCTTTGATGTCTTTGGAGAAGTTTCAGGTAGTGTTCAGGTGACACAAGAAACATTGCCTGCTTACCTACGGACCTAAAAACACCAATTCTGCGTTTTTATGATTCACATTGACGAGTTGAGTAATTTCTTACAGCATCGTCCTTCTTGTTCACGATTCTTGATCACAGCACTTTGCTCCTAAATGTCTAATTTAGGACACATCCTTTCGTTTTTCTCACGTTTCACGTGTCAGCTACCCCTGTACAAAATTATCATAAATGAATTACTTGCTATAAGTCTGTGCGATGTAAAAATGCAATATGTACTTATATGAACACCCACCTCTGTGACTTTGAAGATGATGATATTACGATACCACAAAAACTCTAAATGGGTCGGCTTGCGTTTCTGAGGCCCCAAGCAATATTTTAAATGTTTAACACAATCTTCTTTAACTAACTGATTGACCTTGAAATCAACCCTCTTTTCAATCAACTCAAACCTGCTCATTGCTTCACACATCTTGGTGGTCGATTCTAGATAGCCATTAGTTACGTAAGGTTTATGAACCCACTATAAACACTAAAAATTCATTTATATTTTGCAGTACCTTTGTAGAATAACGGGGATGACTTAGCACCGGTACTAATCAACTTAATTAAAAAGAGTACGGTCTTAGCTTCATATCCATTTCCCTCTTCTTGATTTTTACGGTTGGACAGCCGACGTCATATCATCCTTGCTCCAAATTTACACATGTCTCTAGCATCTTCATCAATTTGTTGCAACCACAAAGTGGTCGAACAATCCTCCAGTGATCTTTTATTTATACCTAAGCTAAACTACAGGGGTTTGAAATCGATTGCTAGTAATGTTAGTGGTAAAAACAACGTTGAAAAGAGACGCAGACACGAAAACTATTTTTAATGATTGATGAGGTGATTGTGGTGATGTCAATGTTCTCCATGCGTATCAAGTGTTTTGCCAATGGTGAATAAATTACTCAAGCCTTGAAATCCGACCGAGGATCTTCGATTCAAAGCAAACCGTTTCGCCACTGTGTTAACAGAAATCGTCGTGAAACGATGATCGTAATCTCTTTTTTTGTATTACCAGCTTATCTATCACATATTGGTATTACGAATCCGTAGACTTCAGCTGAGTTCCTATTCCTGCCTCCTCCATGTGCGATCTCTGACTGTCAACCGTTGCACGACCACTTTATATTATTGCTGTTGCATACGCTTCTGGCGTACTTTGCACTGTTTTAGGATGCTAATCAACCAGCACCTTATTTGAAGGCCTTTTACGGGTTACTGTAAGTTGGTCTACTTTGTCAACTGCCATGCAATCCCGGGGTTAGCGTAAGACTGCACGATCGCGTTTTAACGTCTAATGAAAGCAGCACAGGTAGGCGTTCCATCGTTAAAACGAATGCTTTTGCCCTTTGAGACTTGTATCTTCCGGCACCGTAAGTAATAGTGGTGACAAGACCACTTCCCATGCTATAGTTTGGTGGCCGCCACAGTAGGCGACAGGGAATTGGGGTGGTTTATAAAATTGGTTTTGGCAGTTCACTCAGCAAACAAACCAGTGTGTTGACACCTTCAAACTCGTGTAAGGTACTGGGGTAAGAGTAGTGGATTATAAGCTTATCTATGTGTGTCAATGCACAGTATCTCCAAGTGCATCTGTTCATGCAACTAGATGCTGTAAACCAATGCAAGCCTTTAGGTTGGAGGAGTCTTGTAATTTGGCTGGAATTTATTCAGGCCCACGTCAGTTGCACTTATATAGATCAGAATAGTAAGTGATTAGCTGCTGTCCTGCCTCGATGAAAAATGTCTACCATTTATTAAAACTCTTCCATGAATATGGGAATCAACGATTAGCTATCTACCTCTTAACGAAAAAAGTCCTTTCAACGTATCGCATCTACTCCATATCGCACATTTACAGTACCTTTTAACTGACTATCATTGAGTTTCTAAATGTGTTTTACATTCCACTTTATCAATTCATCTATTTACATGATTTTACCAGGGCGATAATTGGTTACTCTAAAGAAGGAGACTTTAAGAGTTCTCTTCTTTTGTAGAAAATCTACCTGATTATTGAGGCATGGGACCATGACATTGTTACAAATGACGATTTCGTTGGTCGAGTTGAAGGCCTTGCACTGATTGAAAATATAAAAAGTCATGTAACTCCGCTTAATCTCCATCGCTCCAGTACTTTCTACAAGAATGATTTCAGGTGGATGCATTTGTTGTAACACGAAGTTTTATTTGAAATCATATTGGCATTATCTTACGTGCTATTCCTTGAACTTTATTACTATTTATAGCAAATAGTTTCCAATTTGTCTAGAGGCTATATTGGGATGTCTAATTCGCTTATTTTATCATATAGGATAAATGCTTCGATGAAAAAGGTATGCAATCCTAGTTTTAGTGGACCCTTATGCCAGTTCTTTGTGGAACGTCAACCAGCTGGTGAAATCATCGAGGGTAAGTCTACCTTAGTTGCTGTCTATGAATACCAAATGTTAGCAAAATTTCCATTGGTAATCACTTTAACTAAAGCATAAGAGGCGCATCACTTCTGTGTCATTGTACCTTGAAAGCTGAGATTGCAACGTAAAATCTCAAGCTTGTGGTAGTATAGTAGTGATCTTGGAGTCGATTAGACCTACATTCAAACTGAGATACCGTTTGCATTTAGTTTCCCGTGTGTCCATCGTATTTAAGTCCTATATTGACCCTTAAATCAATGCTATAAGGTTTTTGAAAAGGGACATGATGGTTTAATTTGAGTTTGGACGCCTTGATCAGTTTGAGAATTCGAATGACCTATAAATTTGGTAGGTTTTCAATGGTTGGTCCTTTATATGGTTGTTTTCAATGGTAGTAGAAAGTGTACCGGCTTTAAACAATCCATCGTAATTATTCTGCGTTGTAGAAATCTGTTGCGTAGCCTAGTGAAATCATTTTTATAATACTTATTACTTAAGATCGCCTTTTATTTCGACCGCATTTAATATCTTCGGAAATTATATTTTCAGCTAACACCCCCCAAATCGAGTTGATTTATAACCTCTTTCTTGATAAATTAAGCAACAAATAACAGACTCCACTTTGAGTCGAAAATTTTGACCCCAATACGCTACACTGTCATCCAATTTTTAAATTTTGATGGCAAGTTGGGATCACAGGGCCCGAATCATCACCACCCTAACGGCATGGCTTAGCAGTTAATGTTCCATGCATTCCATTTTAGCTACCTTTTATTTTAAAACAATCATTATCAACTGAGTTGACTCACAACCAGGTCTTTCCGATTTGGTATTTTCCGACTATCTACCTGGACAGCTAACAGCTCAGATGAAATGATGATTTGCGTCTTTTTCCAGTTATAACAACGTCAGAGAGCTCAAATCCTCTAAACGCTGTTCCCAGTAGCAGTGCCAGCAGCCTCAGCGGCGGAGGTACCGACGGCAAAGGCAACAGAGGCGACCATAGTGCGGCCGGCCGCTCAGAGTTCAATCCGCGGTGTGAAAGGGCTCGTGAACTCATCGGGGACGAAGTCTGTCTGAACCGTGGTGTCTGTCGCGACAGTCCAGACGGCACTAGCTACGCCTGTTACTGTTCTCCTGGGTACAGCGGCTCACGATGTGAGCTCTTGGATGTAGGTACACCCAAATCTAAATAAACACCAACTTGATATCCGTGTTCCAGTGCAAATTTCGAGGCTTATTAATTCAAGTATTTTATTGCATATTAATCGTTTATGTACTCAGTAGATGATCTTGGAAGTTCAGTGCACCCTCATTCATGTTTTGCTATGGATTTACAAGCACTTCTATCAACAAATGAAGAACGTCTTCTGATAATGGGGATTAAACTTGGTAATCTTTTGCCCTGTTGCAGTTCTGCTTTAACATAACCTGCAGTGGACACGGCCAATGTCGACAATTCGGAGCGAGACTGGATAATTTCGTATGCGAATGCGAGCCTGGATGGAAGGGTGTACTGTGTGAAATATCATACTTGAACGCCTGTGAGGCGGCCTTCTATAACTTGCCCAAAGATCAACTGTCCATTTGTCTACACGGTGGCATTTGCATTGAGCATTACAATGGGTCTGGCTTCTACTGCCAGTGCATAAATGGGTGGTTGGGAGAACGTTGCGGAACCCATTTTACGCAGGTGGGTCAATGCTAACCATTTTTTGTACTCTGGGATTCACAACGTGGTATTTTACTCTCAGGCGTTGCCCTTCACTTAGTCATAATGGTTTAAAGAATGGCATCTGTCGGACAATATACAGGCATTTTTTGTGTTCATTTCGGCTGATTCAACATTGAAATCAGCAACAAAGGGGCCGAAAGCGAGGACATTGAGTAGAATTTGGGGCTTGATAATCAAACATATGCTTGCTTATCTGCCCTTTACTATACACACCAGCCAAACCCTGTAGGTTCCTGTAAATACCCGAATGTCTAATCTCGTGCAGCGAAGAACAAGCTATCAAAATTTAGCTTTATACTTGGTTCCGTGTTTCTTTTCAGACAGTGGCCTTTATCGTCCCTCTAGCAGTGATATCATCGCTTTTGATTTTAACATGGATTTGTGTTTGTGTGTGCAAAAACTTCAGGTGAGCACCTGATCCTCTGCTATGCATAAATTTTAATGCCACTTCTGCCTATTCAAATCGGAAATGTTCCACGACTAAAACTTCTCATCCAGACTAAAGCTTGTTATGAACTCCAAGAAATCAAATTTCCACGTGCGCCCAGTTGTCATTGAAGGTGGTTTTCCTGCAAATACATGCCGGTTTGTGAATGACGAACCCGAACCGTGTAAGGTGTTCAATCCAACCCGTGTCACGTTGAACAGGAACTGGTTTGCTAATTAGCTATCCCACCCTTTGTTCGAGCTCCCGCTGAACGCTTCAGCCTGCGAATTCTACTCTCGCTTTTTCCTCAAAGTTGAATATTTGTGAGGCTTTTGATTCACTCTATAAAGTGCCCGGTGACTTATCAGATTGGCACATACATACTTCAATGATCACTCTCCTGTGGCACTCAGTAGAACCATTACTTGTCTTGGAAAGCATTTGTGATTTTCTAATTTCTAGCCAATAATTAAATTGTACTGACCTCGCAAAGTGCCAAAGAGGATACACAACATGGCTAAATAAACAGTACCACTACCATTTACGGTTTCCCTTTGTTCACCTCAGTTTCTCGGAAAGATTTATGCTGCAGTTATTTGCAACCTCCAGGTTACACTAGAATAACTTTAAATCAAGTACTAATATATTTATTCCATTGTTCTTTCATCCGATCATAGTATTCCAGCATCAAAAGAACATAAGAGGTTTGATTAATTGTCAAACTATGATATGTGTTTGCTACGATACAGAATTCAGGGGCCAAACACTGGGACATGGTTTTAGATTATCGGGCCACCATATCTGCGACTTAAGGGTGGCTTTGTAGACTTTTTACTAAGTATAAATGGATACTAAAAAGTAATTTCACACGAATTTTACAGCGAGTCAAAAGCTGTCTGGGCAGAGCTATTGGTCAAAAATGCTCTGTAAATTGACGAAGTTAGTAGCGACGTAATCGCTACATCGTCTACCGCAAATTTCGCGCTAGTCTCAAGGATTTCGTTATGGCTTTGCGCAAGTACATACACGGCGGTTAAGCTGAACAGTTTATCACTGTTTGGTAGATTACGCTAGCCGATCCGACTCGGTCTACCCATCTCCAATGCGTCGAGGAAAGCGACTGACAAATCACAGTCCATAATAATTTACTAAAGTCTCGGAGAAAGTTGTTGCAGATTGTCACCGATTGCTTTACTCCTTCGCTTTTTTATTAACCATATTCATAATGCCCACATTTGAAAAACAGGACCGAATGTTACGGTTGGCGGTCAACAGCCATCGTACCGTTGATTAACAAGGACTCACAAATGGGTTTTGTGTAGGCGATCAAAGTTGCCACTTTAAGTATTTTGAACTAAACGGTTCTGAAGCGGTGCTAAAGGTGCCCAAGGCGTAGTGTTGTGTGGTCGCAGAGATTCATGAGAGACAAAAAATGAACTTCAAGTTTTCATTTTCCGGGATAGTTAATCTAATGTACGCGCTGAGGTCTCGTTGGGTGAAGAATAACATGATCTTGGGGTCTTTATATTGGCTGTGTTAGGGATGCTCAGATAAAATGTTAACCGATAAGCGAAAGTTCTGAGTGAGTGGGATACAAATGTGAAAATACATCAGAGGCTAATATAAGATGGTTGAATGCTACCTTCACAGTTGGGATTCACGACTCTGGATTCAGAAGAGGCAAATTAGTCAATAATGGAAGGGATTTACTCCCATTCCTTCGTAATAGTGCGACTTCAAATGTAAACTTAAAAGACTGCCATATCACAGGATCTTTATAAAATTAACAAAAAAGGCATTTTCAAGAGGAAAATCTAATGCCATTGCGAAAGATTTTACAGAACGCACTGTTGTGCATTGGTGGTCTTGTGAGACAACTGTCTGCCTTATTTTAAGTTTAGCTCGAATCTTCGGACACGCAATGTGAGGGAAGTTTAATAAACGCATTCAATTGGGCGAATTGCGCGGCACTGCGCAAACCACCAATTGCCGAGCAAGCGACTTACCTGGAGTTCCGGAGAGTACGATCTCCCTTCTGTTACGCATTGAAGGAAGATTTGAACAAAATTTCAACTCACTGATTAGGTGGACACTCCAAGCGTAACACTTCACTCAATGTAACAGACTTAGTTTGGACGAGTTATCTGGCAACATCTGGAAGGGTAGACTGCGTACAGCTCGTGTAAGATCGTCAATCGGCATTTGCTTACAGCATTTGATGGGCGATAGCAAGGAAATTATGCCCCTCCCGAGTTCATTGACTGTTTAATCCACACATAATAAATAATCAGGTTTCGTCTGCAGAAAGAACGCAAACCAAGTTGTTTGTAACCTACCATTTCTCTTTGCACTTGGTAAAATTTATGACCGCACTGTCAAGTGCTTATTAATGCTTTTACCCTTTTATGTGTTTAAAAAGTACAGCTATTAAAATTATACCAAAAAGGAATTTTTTACAAACTTTGCCATGGGATATAAAGCATAGAACGATTTCTGTCGGAAGGGAAACAATATCCACAACTTTCTTGTTCATTTGAAAAGTTTGCGTTAATACAAAATATCGTTTGTTGTTAAAATGCATAAAAATGACTGGTCAGTTGGTATTGAATATACACCAAAGTCAATGACCTACTTTGATGAAAATTAGTGGGCTGATATACGTGACTAGCGAAGGCACGACTGCTACTCGATGGCAGAGTTAAAGTTATTGATGTAAATATGCTTATCGGTTGAGCCTCTTGGTCCCTTCACACCCGGAGCATTCTTTGGTGGCAGAATGGGTGTGAGACCTCCGCCGCTCTCTCTCCTGTCGAGTGTTACTGCGTCGGAATTTTGATGGCTGAGTGGCACCTTCTCCTGGTCCTTCACCGGCTGGATGTAGTAAGGGTCATTGTATAGACCGTAGGCAGCAATGTCACCCCCACTTGGGATGTAAATTGCGTACGGAGATATTTTGCGGCTGATAGGGTCTTCACTGTGTTCACTAACCCGTCGAGTAACATACGTCATGGGTTTAGTCTTTTCGCAGAATCTTCGCCTTGAAAATGCAAAAAGTGTGCATATATGTGCATACTTCGTGAAACTAGTGAATCATCAAATAGTATGAGATTATAATGATTACGTAGATAAGCTATTGAAACTAGTATATGTACCAATATTTTTTCGGAGTAACCAAGTTCATAATTATGTTGGATTTCTACTCTGCAATGCACCCACACGAAATGCGCGGAGTACTTCAGACACCCTTCTCCTGATTACATGCTATTGTGCCATCACCAAAATCATTTTTTTTGTTGTCTCTGCGTGATATCGGCCTACAACTCTGCTATCAAAGTGCACAAAAAGATCCCTCGAATAAAGTTCTAGCACATTTTAGGATTTACAAGGTCAAATTTGCGCACTATTTAGTTATTTACTTCATGGTTGGATAGTATTCACCAGTTTGGGCTGAAGTTACGTTATGCCAAATTCTTCGCCTTACCTTAGATATCTTCGATAGGCCGCTGCGATAACTACAATGATGAGAAGTGGCAACATTGCCGTAGGTAGAATGAAGTACAATGTCTATGGAAAATTCAAAATTATGGTAAGACGATAAATGACTTACTAATGATTGGTCTTTAAAAAGTGTGAGGAAAATGTTTAACTTGTTACTAATCATGGAATTTTTCTAAAAAAAGCGGAGGAATTCTGGATACATTGTTGATTTAGTGAAAAACATGGCTTGTTTCCAAAGATGTTAGATACTACGTCTAAATCATATCTAGGTAACAATATGATACCTGGGTGAAGAAGATTTCACATTGCCTCCCGAACCAGCCTTGTAAACACTCACAACTGAAATCCACACCGTTAGCGTTGTCGACGCATGTGCCACCGTGTAGGCACACCATTGACACATTTGTGTGAAGTTTTTGACTGGCGACTTGACAAGGTGTCAGTAGTTTTAGGCTGCAGGAGGCTCCAGTCCATCCGTAATTACATTCGCAGTGGAAACTGTCCACACTTGAGTCCAGAAATGCACAAGCACCATGGCCCGAGCAATTTTCGGCACTACAGATCTTAAATGAATTACCCCGTGCAAATTACAAATTAATTGTACTAAATTGAAATTTGCCACTTGCTATTTTGGCGAAAAACCAACTGAAAACCAATTCTGCATTATGCGAGAAGGCAGAGAGGTGCTTTAAAACTTCCCATCCATTGAAGCGGGTACATTTCAATGCATTTGGAAATTCACAGTGCCTTTCGAGTCGTATTGTTTTTAATTAAGGACATGCACGAGACTGATGTATACCACGTACCGAAGGCACTGAAACTGCCGATGCGCGTGTTTTGCAAACGAGCCCAGTGTAGTCTGTTTAAGTTTAAATGATAAACACTTCCTTTTGGTACAAGAGAGCTGGAAATTTACACTTATGAACTTGTTACACAAATCGAGGTGGTAATTTTATACTTTGTCTGTACTGTGAGCTACACTGAGTCACCATATCTGGTAAGAATTGCCTCGCCTGCGTAATTATACTGTTACTAATCCAGTAACCTTTTTACAGCCTGTCAAATTACACACACGACACCTTCACAACGTTAACTGACCCAGACAAGCATTAAATGTAACTCTAACTCACGTCCAGCACCTCGCACCTGGGTCCTGTCCTGGGTTGAGGACATTGACAGTAGTACTCATTGTCACCGATGTTCTGACAGCTGCCACCGTTAAGGCAGACAGTTGACTGACCCAGCTCCCGGGCGGCGCGTTCGCATGGCGTGGCCTTTCTTTCACAGTGTCTTCCGCCCCAGCCAACCTCGCAGACACACTGGTACTCTGGTCCGTCCGCTTTACACTGGCCGTTAGGGCCGCAGAGGGACCCATCGAGGCAGGGATTATAGCCCTTCTCACATGCACTACCTGCAAGAGTATGGCACAGAGTTGGGTGGGTTTTCTACTTGTAAGAAGGATTAGCTTATTATTATGCAAGATACCACATCATATCAGTCAAATATGCTCTCCACGTTCGGCAAATTCTCACGAGTTCTCTGTCTGAAACGGGATTCTACCTCACAGTACATAGGTATTTTAGTAATTTGGAATAAAAGAAAACAAAGTAGGTTAAGGTGGATTAAATAGGATATTCCTTCGGAGAATATGCAGTCAAAGTCATATTACTGCCTCTGTTTTGGTATTTCAGACAGGTTAATGCTTGAATAGCGCGATTTGGAAAATTAAGATTTAAAAGCAAAATTAAAATGCGATAAAGACATAATTATCCTTCGAAGTCCTAACACCAGCAGAGATGTAAGTTTTCGTTCAAAACACGCAGAGATTTTGAGAGGCACAATTTGTCTGAATCGACTGAAAAACTACTAATATTGATCAATGAGGCGGAATAGATGGGTACTATTGTAAAATGTCATCCTTAAGACAGAAATTTAGCGGGTATTTGTTGCTTTATAAAACTGTTACTTGTCCTCCTAACTTGCCACACGAACGGCGCCTAGGAGAATGGCCGATGAGGTATCGGAGATCGAAACACAGTCTACTGTGTGTTGCGCAGATGACCCCACGAAAAGCAGCATGATAGAACATCAATTTAGTTACCTGCTAGTGGCCTTACCTTCGTAGCCACTGCACACGCACTTGTATCCATCTCGCAACGACTGACAAATGGCATAGTCTGCACAATCATTTGCGGCACAGTAGTCAATCTGATCGCATGTTGGACCCATAAACCCTAAATGATGCGAAAGGATGGTTAGTAGTTTAGTTAGCTATGGGGCGACAGAGAAGGGGAGGTCTACCAACAGCAAGACGATGTTCTCACAAGTAATGGTACATTTTTATACCTTACTTAAAGTGTGTTACCTTTGCTTTTCCGATAGAATGTACCTAAATGTGTAAAATAAGCAATAGAAATGACTACGTAGGAGGCTTATAAGTTTGTTCGAATAGCATCGAAATAATGGTGCCACTGCTGCATCCGTCACACTGGGATATCATTCATATTAGTAGGTAGCAACCCATCTTTCACTAACGACTCAGTGGGTAAAAAATACCACTTGTAGGCATATAGTGGACGCTGATGCTTTTCATTAATAACCGGCATGAGTATGTAGAATTTGAAGTAAAATTTCGCGTTATTTGTGGACCTAATTCCAAAAGATACGGGAAGGAAGGGACGCCTAGAGGATTTGGCTCTTTCCAGTCACGCTATTAATGCTTGGTTAGGTGTGTTGTCGAACTTTTGATAACGTACAAATCTTTACACAGGTGACTGGCTGAATTTTTAATTAATTGCTGCATTTTTCTCAAATGGCGGAAACTTTTCAAATGGTCAGGTAAAGGATTCCTTGGTGCGTAATTCATAAACCTCATCAGCTCGAGAGATGCACTGCGTCTACAACCGGTACGTACATAAGGGCTGAAATAGCACCTACTTCAATTAGCAATCATTGAATTGGTTACTTGTCATAATTGTGTCTAGTACAGTTTCCAACACACTGAACAAATATCATGGCTTTGAAAATTCGCACTACCGTGTGCAGTAATGCCTGAGAAGAAAATTTGCTTTCCTGCATTATAAGGCGTCAATTGACCCTTCTGGACAGAATGCTCCTTCTGTCCATAATTTCAAACTGTCTAATCATGACAGATTACAGCTTCCTTTCATTTTATCATTTAAAATCTCTATTTTTTGGCTTCTATTCATCGATTTCGAGGCTTTCTTTAATTGGGAGAAGTCGTTGCAAGGCGTAAAACAGGACTTTTATAAGTAAAACATTTCTAAGTTCTTGATTTACTCCTAAAGTCTTTTCGGCAGCCCTGGTTAAACATGTATATTGAAGTGGGATACCTCTTAGACAAATGAAGTTGCCATCCGAGTCGCACGTGTTCACACCTTCACGGGGCCTGCACACGATGTTGCATGTACCGTTCGTCTCCTGTCCCGCGCAATCCACACGTACAAGGGCCTTCATGCTTTAAAGGGAGAGGCACAGTACTTTTTCTTTATTTCCATAATTTCAATTATGCTCACGCCTTAATAAACCCAAAATAGTTATGAACAAAAGGTCTATAACTTTGGATCTTCTGACAGAAGACTTTTAGTTACTCATACACTTCCACAGTCCTGGTTAGATAAATGAAGCATTGGGTGTGCCGTTCCCTATTTATCTACACAGTACTAAGGGGATTGCATTTGAAATGTGTAAAGTAAAAACGAACTTTTGGTTTTACTCTCACTGAAAGTGTTTTGTGGATTTGCTAAATAATCTACAAAGTATCCACTGTCGATATCTTGTTTAAATGTTTCATCCAAACCAGCATTCTTCCCACCTATTCACGTTTAAATACAATTTCAAAAACTCCTACCTTCAAGACTGAACAAAATGAGGACTTGATCGCTGCTCGATTTGCCCGGCCAGAATCACACCTTATGTCATTCTTAATTTGTGAAAAGTTGACGACAAGGTACTAATCCACATCGCATTTCAATGACTTACAAAACATCATTCATATAGACGAGGTCCCTCCGGAACAGGGGAACTGCTGACCAATTTTGCGAAAGCGTTTCCATATCCAGTATCCCCTCAAACTGGGCGATGAAGTCACTGCTGGAAACAATGTCAAAATCCCATACGTCGATTACTATCTCCATGGTTTTCTGTAAAACAACCGTAAGAAATAGCTACATGAAAAGCTTGATGGCCTTATCTTTTATCACATTTAAGTCAGAGTTAATTACTACCAAACAATCTAACAATTTACGTGAGATCTTTGAACAAGCCAATGCTTGAGTGCCAAAATATCCCTTTTATTGACCTTAGATATGCGATTTTCATAACCATGGTGGCCTTTAGCCATTAATATACTATTTACTAATGGTATCAAAAGGAGATAAAGGTGATATTCGAGTTTTCGATTAAGTATCTCTGAAAAATAGCGCAAAGATGTTAGAATATAGCGATTTATTTGCGAGATATTTGCATCTGTGGTAGACAACTCTGTTTGCCTTCCCACTGGAAGGACAGCTTTCTATTTATTTTCGCAAATGTCACTAAAACACCAATTAAATGCAGAATCCAAGGGACATGAGTTCAATGGCGAACTTACTCTGAGGGGTGAGATTAGCGGGATCACCGTTTCAATCGCGCCCGCCGCGCTCACCTCAGTCACGTCTGGATAGACTTCCGTGGTCTCATTGTACATGTCGCAGGACCTAATGCAATTCAAAACAAATCCTGAAATTAATGCCATAGTGATTTTGATTGATGCTACGCAAGACATTTTTAATAAAATTAAAGTCACTCTAATAAAATACGACTCTTCTGAAGATAGTAAAATCTAATGTCCAAGGGTTTTAATAAGCAGATCCGATTTTCGATGTGGATAGGAGCTACTTATAACTGATACCGCATAAGTAAGATCTTATGAAAGCCTAAGCAGTCACTTCCACTAAAGCGAGTGATTTTTGGCCCAACAGTAAAATTTATTACTACCTTTAAAAGTTACCAATTGATTCTCGTCTTGAAATTAAACTCAACCTACTACCTTACCTAACTTACTACTTTGTTTTACCTCGTAGGACTGGCCGACTTCGAGTAATTAATAGGATAGGCGAATTATCCACTGAAAGGACTCGACAAAATGTAGGATATTTTCACCCTTTTTAAATCAGACAGTCATAAATTATTCAAAATTACAATTAACAATAACATTAGCTAAAGGCCCCATCATTAAAGGCTACACAACCGTATTCTGCTAGCCTTTTTAAATCAAGACATCGATACTTATTAACAATGCAGAACAGAGAATAACCCTGGGAAAACAAAAGACGTTGGCAGTGAAGATGCATTTCAAGAGCAAAACTGTCGACAAAGATTAGTGACTCACGTGCCCGTAGTGCTTTTGATACAAAGAAGGAAGTAAACGTCACATGTGCTCCCAAAATCACACCGATTGCCATCGATGAGGGTTCCAGAGGGATTGGAGTAACCAAGTAATAAGTGTAATTTTCTCACCTCGTTCTAGGTGAAAAAAGGGAAGAAAGTGGATGAGTAGGACAATGGTTGATTAGTAGCATCGGTTTTGTTTGATTCGATAAAAACCTTACAATTTTATGAGGGCAGTACTCCAACCTATTTGATTTAAAGAAACTAAATGGCGCAGGACTTATAGTGACAAGCATTATGATAGGATTTGGAGTAACGTTAACCGACATAATAGAACGGAACATTCAGTATTAACAAGCAGCTCCATTTAGCTAGGAAAAGGATATGTGTAGCTCCAATGATTTAGAAGACATCTTCCTCTGCAAAGGAATGAGTCAAAGTTTCCCATTTTTTACTAAATTTTAGGTGAAAAAAGGCAAACACCTTGAGTTAAAGCGCAATTTTAGTTGCCCATTTTAAATACAAGTCGTTTGCGGTAGAAGCTTTGCGGGAAGCCGGTCTCCAGTTGCCATTACGTCGTAAAATGGCAATTACTTGGTAAAATTTGCTTCCAAACCGGTTAATTCGGTTACGCAATACGCGTTGGCAGCTAAACACTAGAATGTAGTGTTGTCACATCACAATTACGTAAATGCACTTAAAAACCAGCACGAAAGTTGCGTTGCACAAAAAATCGTATTTAAATATGAAAAGATGCGTAAAACTAAATAAAACCAAAGTTTGCGTGAATACGGGACTTATTCCTCCCATGGTAGGTAAAAATAGTTTTCCAAACGGAGTTAGCTATCAAAAACTCGGCTCCATTTTTGAGAGCTGTTGATTTGCCCTTGTGTATACTCCTTTGCATGTATCATTATCTATGCTGGCAGGCAAAAAACAGATTCAAGCCATTGGTCATTTAAAAGCACAGGTGATCGAGCAGAGGAAATCAGTTAAGCCGAGACTCCATAGGCAATGTCGCAGTTTAGTGCGGCTATGATTTTGGGTCATATTAAGGCTAGTCTACACTGGGCAACGTAGGTCTTATTTATGACTCCTTGTCGTAATGTTATCGCAAAGGTAACATTGACGTACTGCGGTTTTGACTGGAGCGTATACGAGAACCGAAAGAAGCATTTTTACCATTGCACCGTGCCACATTCCGCACAAGGCAGTTGACTTATACGTCCTTACGGCCCACAAGTACCACAGTTATAAACATCACAGCCTATCGCTTCGATTAAAATCGGACAGGCTTTGTCCACGTAAACAAGACGCACTAATGCCGATTGGATGTTGCGGCACTGTGACTTGGATACCCGAGCGGCATTCCATCACTTGTCTGTTCAGTCCTAACATTGTATGCATGCAGGTGTGCTGGTCGCACCAATATCTTGGAAAAAGTAGTAGTGCTTAAGACCTCTATGTCCTTAGCTCCTCTTCTACTACGATATTCATAATTTTCTTGCTAAGGTCGAAATGTATTAATGACTTGCCCGGAATCCAAGTCAGCTAACAGCCAAAACCAAGGTACTCCAAGGAGTAAACAGGCAATGTCAGAACGACCGACTCCCTCACACCTTTCACTTGGTACATTCTAGTTTTACCTAGTTCTCAAATAACCGTACACTTATTTCACACTATAATTTAAATTAATCTTTGCACATACATAAATATAATATGTCCACCGGAGGATTAGGAAAATGGAAGTACTACGTGCACAGGCTGAAGGTACAAGGTAAATATAAGTATTTTCAAAACAAATGCAAGAGTGAGAGACTCATTGTCAATAATCATGTACGTATTCCACTGCACAAAGGCCCAGAGAACTCAGACTGCACTACTTACCTTTCCTTGTAAGCGTTTTTAAAGATTTTGTGTACACAGTAGATCAACTTACATTCCTCAGCGCATTCACGACATTCACCTATAACTTTATGTAATTTGGAACTTTATATTATCTTATTTTTACTAGAGGTTTTCGGGCTACCGGGAGTTGCTGAATTAGTAAGAATTGAAAGGTGATCTTGAGGAGCATAATATAAATACCCTTGCTACCATCGTTTCAACAGTGGAACATGTAACGTAGTTGAGTTAAATGGGCTGATTTACACATTTTCTCTATATCACAATTTTGGTGCCATTAAACAAGAGCTAGGGTGTCTGCCGAAGCCATTTGATTATAATCATTCGGTGACGTATACACAGTGATGATAGACTTACAATTTGCATAAATTTAGATTCATAGTTTATGCCATACGTGATTTTATTTATAGTTACTTTTTCCGATTTTGCGGCCTCGCTGAAAGGCGAATTCAATCAGCTAGTTCTGAACCTGATCCTGACATTAAAAGGATGCAGAGATCGTCCAGGTTAAATATTCAAATCATTGATAATAAGTTAAACAGTTCACTGGAGTTATTTGGAATGAAAATATCCAAAAATGTCCTCTTCATTTACTCTGTTGATGTAACCACCTGGCCGAATGTATATTACCTCTCGACGCCAAAATTGATTCAAGATGCAACCACAAGTTACCGTTCACTTTACATCGCATGCTGGCAAATTGCAGATAATAACCGTACTAAAATGGAAATCATCAATTTTCTCCCAGTTTCCAAATTTTTTCTTCATTTGTCAATCGCTGTTGCGACGTTAGTGCAAATTGTTATTTACTAATTTGATTTAATAAATTAGCTCAAGTTGCCCTTGTAGTGGCAATAACGATAGTTAGCCATTAATAAACAACAGATAGTAGTGTTTTATTTTCTTTTTAAACATTAAGAGAGTAGAATGTCAGAATCGCCTTTATTGAATCAATGACTCAAGCAATCCCGAGTGGGTTGGGGAAAGCAATAAAGAAAACAACTTACATTTCCCGCTAAATAACAATTTAAGCATCCTTTGTGGGTAAAATAAACATTGTCCCATTATCTACTCTGCACATAGGTGAGGCAATTTTGCGGTCGACCTAGGCACCTCCATTCGTGCATCTCCCCTCTGCACGAAGCATCGACAGCAATCGAAGACACTTACATACTTAAAAAATCGTTACCCTAACACAACGACCTAAGGAATCTCCCGCTTTGGAGAGGGAACTTGGTGCCTATGTAAAAGGCTACCACGCCTGCACTATATTAAGTCGTATCTGGTTGTTGAAGCCTGGAATATTTCAATAAAGATTATTTATGAATTTGTGGGATTTCTAAATACCCTTTAAGAAGCCACGTAAGAAACGCCCGTTTAGATTCGACGTCACAAAATCCAGATAGTCATATCTACAATCTAGCAAAACCCTATGAGGACATGATAGGATTGCTCTGTGATGTGGACTTAAATTTCGTAAGCGCATTAGAACTTGAAACTGTCGCCTAGTATTACTAGCTCAATCACCCAAACTACAGCTATTACTTAAGCACATCATACTGGAGGAGCCTGAAACTCCAGGCAATGTTACTCTTTCGCTTTTCTAGAAGTTTCCTTCTTCTTGAATAATTTTCTAACATTCCGCAAAGTGACCGACCAGTAACACATGCAGCTGGACTTTGGGCTAGCAATCACTAATATAGTCAAGGCCGATCAATTACTATCAATAAGCAAGACTGGAACTACCCTGTTTCTCTAGTGTCCAGCCAGTGGTAGCCTACGCTCCAGTAGCTGATTTCTTATACTCGTCTGCAAGTAAAGGCTTCCGTATTGGAGCCTCTGTCTCCCGATCACTCGGGTGGGAAAATCGACAGGATCTAACCTCATCCACGGAAGCATCAATATATAATACTGAATTGGATTTTTGATATTTATCAGTGGTTCACCACAACCTATTGGGACCACTGAGATGTGCGCACGATCTCCTCTACGAATCACGGTTAGCGAAAGGGCTCGATGGATTGCAATGTAAGTTCACATGGTGGCGATATTCAAGACGCACGTCTTGGATTCTTCCATTTTCTAGGTAGCTATTTGGGAGAGGCGAATTCGAAAGACAAACTTTGTGGCCATCAATCCCTTTTAACTCCCAAATCGAAAGCCGCCAGGTTATTTTCTGCTGAGATGCTTAAAGAAGAGGTCGTAAAAATTAGTTTGCCACGGGGCTAGTCTACTGCAAGGTAAAGATGAAGGAAGAACGTGTGTTGAACATGTCCAACTAACTACGGAAATCAAGATGGATTATTTAGCCCAAGCCTATATTAATGATTTGCTAAGCTCCCCACACAGACCCAAATGTCGGTCCACGTTCGATCTAAAATTGGGGTGCTTGCGATCGTGTGATCTGATCAACTCTGTAAATTTCAAATGTGCTTTATTAGATCCTACAACACAATGGCCATATTTCAAAGGCTAATGTAAACTACCCCGCTTGGAAACTTTTTAAAACTCCAACATACAAGAGCACAATCATAGCCTTAAATTGGCTTTAGATTAATCACAAGAAACAGATTTGATCCTGCGCCAGCGTAATGTAACTTTTTCACAGATTAGTAAAAATTCTAGGACATGCGGACCCGTGACAGCAGACTACATACAGCAATTCAGGGCATGATAGCTTCTAGCTTCGCCAGCTTTCTAGGTTTAACAGATAATTACAAACTCTTCATTAGATGCTTCGCTACAATCGCAATTTCGATACATATGTTAATAGAAAATCAGAATAAAACTGTTTTGATAGGAAGGAGGAGCATTATGAAGTGTTTGAAGAGTCAAAATAAATGCTCTGTTTCGCGTCAACCCTGCTACTTCTTAATTTTGGGCCGAGTGCCGAACCAGTTATTCTGACCACTGATCCTAGGGATGAAGTTGTAGGTGGGGTGCTGTCATGGAAGGCTGAATAAGGTCAAGAATATGTCATCAAGAATGTTATTACCAAATTCAACAAAATGGTGCAGCAGAAATGGGCTATTCTGGATCATATTCAAAGGGTCCTTCACCTCACAGCGCTCGCACCACTGCAGCTCACACCCACAAGGTCGTCAGAAGAGAGGCCGTAGGCATAGACATTACTAATCCCATACCGATCACAGCAAGAAGAAACCGGTATGTTATTTTGATGAGGGATTACGAAGTTAAAGTTCCCGAGGAGGGACCTCTAAAGTCCCAATGCTGAAACGGCCGTTTCTATTTTTAAGCGGTGGGTCTCTTAACACTGCCAAGTAACGGAACAGGCTGAGTAATATAGTTTGTTTTACAATATCTTTCTAGGTCACAACTAGCCCAAACAGATGAGCCTCGCCATCTTGTCTACATTGTCGCTAATCAAGGAGAACGCGAAGTTCGATTCTTTATAAGGCCTGTACATCCTAACAGTCCTCATTTCAGCAATATGTAATGTTTTCCACAACTCACCTTTATCTGTTGAAGAATTTTGGAACTGGAAGTCAATGAAGAAAACGATAAGAGTTTAACACATTTGTTGATGAAGTGGCATTTTTTAACTTAAAAAATTCTCCGATGGTAAATTTGGATGGAAAGATTTAAGTTCCACTGAGGTAGTATGTTTGTAAACGTTAAGAGTGCTAACTATTCAACAAGTGCTTATCTGTAATATTAGCAGACTTTGCATGGATATAAACTTTAGCACTTCGGTTATTTGATTAACTCTTTTCCGTTTCGCAAGCACTTAAGGCTCCGCCCTTGTACTTCCACTGGACGGCATGATCTTTGGATCATACCAATGGGCCTCCAGTTCTTCCGCACATCGATAATACGTATTCTGAACTGGTATTATGTCTACTTCCATCTTCAGGGAAGTCTCGAGTCGCTACATAGCTACATCGATATGATATCTTAAGCTGCATGTAGCGAAACGAGACTTCCCTGAAGGTGAAAAAAAAACACTACTCGGGCAGAATAGGTAATGTTGACTTACAGAAGAATCTTAGGACTACTAGCCAGGCCGCCAAGCCCAACTGCGATGCGAAGTTTCAAGTTGCCCGTTACCAAAACCACAGGTAAACGAACAATTAGTGTTAGATGTATTCTTAACAGCTCCACATTTATGGACTCGTAGGCTGTACTTCCGCGAGACTAAACATGACCGAAACACCTCAATGATAAAGCAGGAAGTTTTTCCAAAGGAAATCCGAAAAATACACCTCTACTTGCGAAAGAAAGTACACATCAATCAAATAAAAACCACTCAAAGCAGGCAATCTTTTTGGCAGAATGATCATTATCGAAGTTTCGAGACATGGAATGTTGAAATCATTTAATGGACTTAATATATTCTGTTTTAAACCAAGCAATTACTACAATTATACAATTACTTGCAGGTAGAAGTCGCAAAAATAGAACAACTCATATTTCTACCCACAAATCAAAATGTAGTGTCTAATGACTTCTACTGCAGGAATGCAGACTTTTTAAAGCATCATATTTGTGTCACAAAACTACGCTGACGCAACTAACCAATCATCAGGCGATGCACATGTAACCTAGACACCCCCATCGTACAAATAGCTGCTTGGGCGTGCTGCGATGCGTATAGAAGAGGTAAATAGTACGACGAAATCCCAAAGAATCGCTGCTCACAGTCACATACGGGGACTGGGATTGGATGAAAATGGTGAACCTCTTCAGAATGCTGCCGGTCTGGTTGGGCAGATGGCTGCTCGTGAAGCTGCTGGGATAATAGTTGAAATGATTCGGTCCAAGAAGATGGCAGGTCGGGCTGTTTTAATGGCAGGTCCTCCCGCCACTGGGAAGGTGAGTGGTTGTTTCAGAATTACTATTCCTGCAGACGGCAATTGCTCTAGCAATCTCACAAGAACTGGGTAACCGAGTTCCCTTTTGTCCCATGGTCGGTAGCGAGGTGTTTTCATCCGAAATAAAGAAGACAGAAGTTCTTATGGAGAACTTTCGTCGGGCCATCGGTAATTTCACATCTTTTTTTAGTTTGCTAAGGCTTGCGCATAAAGGAAGTTAAGGAAGTGTATGAAGGCGAAGTCACAGAACTGACACCGGTTGAAACGGAAAACCCGACGGGAGGTTGTTTTTTCATTAATCATTAGTTTTAGGTTATGGCAAAACGATAAGTCATGTCATTATAAGCCTTAGGACTGTTAAAGGCGTCAAACAGTTGAAGTTGGATCCGTCAATTTATGAAAGCCTTCAAAAGGAACATGTTGAAGTTGGAGATGTTATTTATATTGAGGCAAATTCCGGCGCGGTTAAACGCCAGGGTCGTTGTGATGTATATACGGCTGAGTATGACTTGGAGGCGGATGAATATGTCCCACTTCCCAAGGGTGAGGTGCATAAGAAAAAAGAAGTCGTTCAGGACGTTACTCTCCACGACTTGGACATAGCGAACGCTCGACCACAAGGGGGTCATGATATAGTTTCGATGATGGGACAGTTGATGAAACCAAAAAAGACTGAAATTACAGGTATGTATAGGTTTGAATAATGTATTACAATTATTCATTATGAGTTGACGCTGAAATTGAGGAAGTGTGGTTAGTAGTCCTTCCAGCATCTAAGAGTTTATCTAGCTTTATTTAACAAGATAATCTCAGAATATCCCCTTTTTTTCTTACGCTTTGTGTTCAATGTCCTGAATTCAAATGTTTAAAATATTCTTCGATGTTCCAGGTATCGTGACTAGTGTTGTGGATTTAGGATACTATCTTGTTAGGCTGTGTTTCACTGGTTCTAACGATTATCAGCATGCCATTCTATACAATACCTCAATTATTTTATTTCCCGGTAATCCCAAACTTATTTATGCTTAGATATTCCTATCGCCATTTTCACGGAATGAACAAGGCTACCAGGTTCTCACTATTCGACTTTACATCGTTATTCGACTTGTTTTACAGATAAATTACGCAAAGAAATCAACAAAGTTGTGAATAAATATATCGATCAGGGAATGGCTGAGCTTGTACCTGGTGTCCTTTTCATTGACGAAATTCACATGTTTGATATCGAGTGCTTTACCTATCTTCATCGCGCTTTGGAGTCAACTATTGCGCCCATCGTCATTTTTGCGACTAATCGTGGCAAGTGCCCTATCAGGTGTGTTCCATGCAAAATAAAAGTAGGTAATACTGTGCCAAGGTTGATGTCTCATTTGTTCGGTATGACTTTCAAAATTGCGTTGTGATAACATTATGGGGACGCTGTATTTGTGTATTTTGAAGAGGTGCAGAAGATATTATTTCTCCACACGGTCTACCTCTTGATCTTCTTGATCGTGTAATGATTATCCGCACAATGCCGTACACATTCACCGAGACCTTGGCCATCCTCCGAATTCGAGCAGAGACCGAACGTCTCAAAGTTTCCGAAGAAGCTTTCCAGCGTCTTGCCACCATTGCAACTGAGTCCACTCTTAGGTAATGATTCGATTCTTATCCCGTCTTCCCAGCTTCTTCCCGATGAATCACCACGCAACTACTCTTACGACATGCGAGTTTGTGTAATTACTACTTCGCGTAGTACATCGATTGCCGGCATGATTTTAAAAGTGCCTTCCACTCTAGCAGCATTCATATCCTTTTAAGTTACAATTCATTGGTTCTGATTGATTTTTTGTCTACTTAGTGTTACACCGGTGAGCGTGTGTGCTTGAACGATCCAGAGCTAGCTGGCTTTACTTTATTACCCATATTCAGCTTTTCTAAGTCGAGTAGGATGCTATTTTTAGTCTTGTTCTGTGCCAAATTAGTCGTAGCGCGTGTTTATCCCAGACCAAAAATCTCTGAAATCAATTAATCTATTGCCTTGATTTATTCAGGTTTTGACACGGGACTAATTGGGGTTCACCGGTTCAGTTGAACTCAAGCGGAAAACTTTTCATTTATAGGTTCGGCATACAGCTACTGACGCCAGCATCTCGGCTAGCTCAGCTGACGGAAAGTGAAGAGATTACACCGGAACACATTATTGAAGTGAGCAGTCTCTTTTTGAATGCTAAACAATCGGCTAAAGTGCTTGCCGAGCACGACAGTCAGTTCCTCAAGTGAACCCTGCACAAATTTTAACGCTGTCTTCCGGAATTTCCCATGTGTCCAAAAATAAGCATCAAATTACACGTTGTCACACTACCAGAATGGATACTTTCCCTCATATTAGCATTGTAAGGGAAGGTCAGGGCGGTTTGGTGAAATTAGTGTGATTACTTCGTGTGAGGGCGGGGGGACGGCTGTGGTTGGACTGGTCGTCGGGGGGTTGGGGTGGCTCGGGGTCGCCTCTCGTCCTGGCGGGTGGTGGTCGATTTGTGGCCTTGGTCCGACTAAGCTGTTTGCAGCCAGCGTGAATCACCTACGGCTTTGATCGTAGGCGGCCCTACTTCCCGCCTGGAGTCGCAATAAGCGTTCGTACGGGGTGGATCTACTGTCCTGAGTCCCTCAGGAGATCTCGCAGTTGAATGCACGGTTAAGCAGATCGCTGCATCAAGGCACTTGCCTGACGCGCTCGCATAATTAGGTCCAAAGTAATAGCTACGGGGCAAATCGTGTGAAAATACGCTAACGCATTCATTTTACTGCATGTGTCTTCGCATTATCAGCCAGACTCAAAAACGGTATACTACTTGAATAAGAGTGAACTAATTACCAATCTGTAAAAACAGTTTTGCGATCAAGTTTGAATATTTTACACTTATTTTTAGTAAATCTGTACAGTTTGGGCATTTCATTAATCATTTTAATACATTAATGTACTGAGTCATAATTCGTCAGTGCTGGTTAGCCACTGTGGCGGCTCTCTTAAGGTCAATGCCGTGGGTACCTCGTAAGTAACTTTTCAATCGCTAAGTTTACTTGGTTTGATTAAACTTAGACAAATTATATTTAGTTACCTGCATAACTTCATCCCTATAGGAATAGACAATGGGTGCATACTGCTTAGACCGACTGCAAATGTCGGTGAACTTACAACTTAGCTAACTGGAAAACGGGATTAGAGCTGTTTATCTAAATTCTTCAATTGTACTGTGTGCACTTTTAACACTGTCTTATGAAAGTCTTTGCTAGTCCATATCACAATGGATTAAAGTTCCTTTGTGAATACCTATTAGTAGTAGTCCTACTAGGGCTTTCGCTTTTGGGCTGTAAAGAATAAGGATTTGCACTTATTTGTGTTACCTTATTCACGTCTGTGTTCAATTGTTTGTAGAAAAATGCACCACTTCGTTACAGTCCTGTGTGTGGTACTATTCCCATTTAAATCATCAGGGGATTTCGACGTTAGTGACGAATATACTTACTCAATGATTTGGGGTGCTGGTTCGAATTCACAGGTTAGCAGTCCATAGTATCACTAGTTTTATTGAATTACCTCGGGAAATGTAACAAACTGTGCATTTACTTGGAATCATTGAGTGATTTTGTGCCTCAATTTTCCAATGTGATTCTGCAGTTTTTAGATTTCAAATGCATACCTAGTAATGGGAAGGATCCTTTGGGTAGTGACAGGGTATACGCTTTGTATGTTAATCCAAATGCCTGTTTATTTGCAGTCAAGTGATTCCACACCACTGCTAATTAAAACCACAAACAACGAGACTTATGCGTGTCATCTCCCAGCCACAACCAGGAGTCAGAGAGTAGAAGAGGTTCAGGATGCTGCCCTCCACCCGAGTGTTTTGTTGGACGACTTCTTCAAGGCATATCCGTGCATATTCAAAGTTGAGGGTTTTTGGACCTATGAGTTGTGTCATGATAAGCACATACGGCAGTTTCGGGCCGAGGGTGCGGGGCCGAAGTTGACACGGATCGTTAAGGAATTCTACCTCGGTCGCACTTCTGACTCGAAAAAACCCTTTGAAAATGATGAAAAGGCAAATGATGATTCGGAATCGGTATTTTGGTTACTTTTGCAGATATATGTATATGCATATAATAACTTGCTTGTGACCTTTGCATTTCTCTAATTTATATGTGTGTTCACCTTCGATTTCTCAATCTTAATTTACTGTATTATTTCTTACTGCAGATGCTATCATTAAATGTTTTTCTTCCAAAGTGAGCAATGGTTTGAACGAACGTTCTTTACTCTAGTTGTCGAAACAATTAAATTTAGTTTTAAATTCGCGAGAAGGGCTATTATCACCCGCACCTGAAATATTTACTAACCGATTTTCATAGAAGTCCATTCAAATCAATGGCAGGGATTTTTCCTACTATTCCGTCGATTATGCCGACGGGACAGAATGTGATCTGACTGGTGCCCCCCGCAAGGCCTCGGTGTTGTACGTGTGCCTGGAGGAATCCGATGGAGAGTTGTTCCAAATCAGTGAACTGGAGACCTGTGTCTATCAGCTTATTGTTTTTACGCGCCATCTATGCGCCTCGCCTCGTTACAACGTACGGTGTCTAATGCTTTCATTTGAATGCATCTGTTAAGTGAATCTTTTTAGCATCTTGTCATGTGACAAGTGAAAATTGCGTACAGTAGAGTAAGACGCCTTTTATTTCTCAAATTATAAACCGAGCCTAAAACATTTAGCTCTGTGTCCGCACGTTACTTTGGTTGGTGTACATGGCATAGTTTTTATTGGTGATTATGTTGCAGCACTTGTTATATTTGTTCGGGGATTACTTGTATTATGCGGTTATTATTCTCTCCTGTCACCTGACATATTTTCAGGCTTTTTGCTGTCCTGCATATGGTGCATTGTTTTAGTTTAGCATTACTGCATTTGGTTCGCTGGACCACTTTTCCAAAAAGGCAACTAATACCTGAATTTGTAATTCTTTTATTTAAACTTATAAGTCAGTCTTTTTTGAATTTTCAGTCCCACAAAGTCTACTTGAATCCTATTACCTGTGTTCCGCTTGGGGAAAACACACCAGGAAAGCCGAGGGCTCTTCTTTCCCTAGAAAAGGAGAAGGAGGAGCTTGCAACTTTGGGTGAGAATGAACACCTCGAGGGAATTTTCGGCGCCCTAAGGGTGAAGGGTCTGAAAGCAAGTACTGATTCAGTGTCTGAATGTGCTTCGGGAAGGTGGCTTTTAGTAACATGCTCTTGCGAGCTTGAAGGCTAGAGATAAATGCATTCACCTCTTGAGAACGGTAACGTTTGGAAACAACCGGTGTACATTAGTCTGATGCGAATCAACAGAAAACTATTCATTAACCTGAAAACAGTTATGTTTCACTTAGTTCTCTAATAAAGACAAATTTTTTTGCTTCTAACACATTGGTTTTTAAGTCGAAGTCCAGTCAACTTCATGCTGACTTCACAGTCTTATTTACTAAGTTTTCATTTCCTAGGTGGAAAAGCTTAACAATAGGGGCAACCTGATCTACCGGGTCAGGACACTAGATCCACTCGAGGCTGATCAGGTGGGCGCATTCTACGTGGGGGCATGAGGGCAGGAATTGGCTCTGTTTACCTTCTGTATTCCAATTGATTCTGTTGCTCGTCTTATGCTCAGGAGTCGGCGTCCGCGAACGAAGGAGTCAAGCAAGCTGACATCCAGGGGGTGATGGAAGGAGTCGAGATGCTGCCCCAGTCGAAGTCTGGGCTACCGGTAGCTAGCCAGAAAGTGCTAAGCGAGCTGCGCCTTGCTCAACAGCGTGAACTGCAATCCTTCCTAGGTGGTGAGACATGCCTCACTGGGGGCGCTGGCTGGTGGCGACACGAGGTCTGCTACGGTGGCCGCATCACTCAGTACCACGAGGTACATCAGCTTTTTATCGTCTGCTCCGCTCCCATCCTTTTGTTTTATGGAAGCAGAATTGTATGCTTAGAAATTCCAGTAATAATACTTGTACAATTTTAAATCTTCATTCAATAGTACAATCCCTCGGAATTGTAGTTTAAAACGAACGTCTTAATCACCACTACTATTGTGCAATTTTGATGCGCACAATCTCAGTATACCATCAAAGTCTATTCAGATTTCTGTATTTCCTTTTTTGCAAGGACCCGGAGACCGGAGAAAGAACGGAAATCGTCCTGGGTAAGTGGGACGAGGCTGCTCACTTGCACTGGGTGAAGCAGAGCTCCCTTCGCAAACCACAAGTCCCAGTGGACAAACGGTTGTAAGTTATGGAATTTGAAGAGTAATGTAAGCAAGCCATTAGTTATCCGTTTTTTCCTTCTTCACTTAGCAAGCTCACGCAATTCTACGATAATGGGGATTTCTGTGAAGAGATCAAGGCTCCACGATCCGTCAGGTTGTCGTTTGTGTGGGTTGGTGTTTTTAGGGCTGCCTACCCTTTTTCATGCATCCTGACTATCCTGTTACTACTTTAGCTGTCAACGGAAGGTCAATACCGTCGTACAGCTCTCTTTCTCCGAACCGTCCACCTGTCAGTATTCGATCAGTGTAAGCTGTTGCCTACTAGAGTGGATTCGTTTACATTCTCTAATTTCAATATTTATAAAGGGCAGTTTTATTAATTACCCATATTTTTTCTCCGATTAATGTGGGCTATTGATGAGACTACGGGAGGTGGCGCATAATTAGTTCGCACTACTAGGTTTAGCCGTACAAACCGAATGTCACTTTTTGTATTTTTTCCAAAACTAGAATCAAATGATAACGCATTCAGATAGAGTGAGCGAAATCCAACTAGAAAATGCTTTTTATTTCAGCTGGAGAGCCCATTGTTCTGTGATCTTTTGAAACGAGTTGACGATAACGGTCTCCTTCCTCCTGAGATTGTGGTATAGGTTTCCGGGAGGTTCGCACCATATTACAAACTGGATCCCTTCAATGCTTGTTGAACATGTGCACTAATTTATCACTATCCATTTAGATCAAAATAAAGATAGATGTCAGTTATCACATCACTTCTTTTGGTTTGCTGCGACTGTAAGCGGTTTTTATTCAAGCGTTAAACTATTCAAGATAGTGTAGTGGAAGCGCAACGGATTCCAAAAGGAGAGGTTTACGGTCTTGGAGTTATTGGGCGGCCAGAAAGTGCGGTATTGTTTAAGGTGCTATTGAAATCGGAGGAATATCGAAGGCGCCCGCCCAAAAGTGCAGACACGCACAAATGTTATAATCAAGGCGTCAAGGAAACGACGGTCAATTAGTTTCGAAATAATATAAGGCTAAAGACGGTGTTCAACGTCTGGGGGGTAGCCCATTTCTTCCCCGAGGTCGTGATAATCCCCAATTGCAATGGACAGGAGGGTCGAGGAGTGTGGACCGTATTGTTGATTTTGGTGCAGGCTGAGAAGACAGATTCGCACAGTTGAATGTGAGCTCAACCAGATATAAAGTTACTACTGATGTTTATGTTGTGCCAATGCAACAAAATTGACAAAAGAACTGAAGTAGTCATTCCACTGATGAAAGCCCCTAAAAATACTGGTAAATTATTGATTTGGGATAGTAAAAGGTTAGTAGTGTTTCAACACAACACAAGAGGCTATGTGAAACATTAATGTTTGTTTAGTGCAAAAATCTACTTTGAATTGTATTATCGTAAATATACTTAATGTACTTAAGTATAATTCCATGTGTACTTAAGGCACACGTCTTCCATGTGCGCCTAATTTTAAGTCAGTGGAACACAGGATACTTAGAGTAGTTCTAGTTCAATACTTATCAAGACTATATGCAAATACCACATAGCACCACTGTTCTATTTTAAAGAAACGTAGAAAAGTCCTCCGAGCAAGATAGAGTTAAATGGATGCTTACGTTTAAGTCACAAGTTCAAAATCACTTCTTTGTCCAATCAGGACGGGGTCGATTTGCAGATGACCGACCATGGTTCTTCATCCAACTTAAGGGGTTATCTATTAAAATGGACTAACTACATAAAAGGGTATCAAAGGCGGTGGTTTGTTTTACAAAACGGTTTGTTGTCATACTATAGGTAAGTCATTTCATGCACGCCTAACTTTGTAGAAATCAATCCGAAGTTACTCATACATGTCGAGGCACAATTAATCTGGCTAATGCCAAAATTGTCTCAACTGGGCATTTAACATTGGTCATTTCAAACAGCAGTAGCCAAACTTTCCATCTCAAGGCGGCGAATGAAATCGAGCAGAAGAAGTGGATGACCGCCTTAACAATGGGCAAGGCTGATGCCCTCGCTCTGGGCAAATCAGGTGTCTACACTTTTAGTTTTTCTACCTTTTTCATCCTCTGGCTTTATTGATTTCAATTCTACCTTAGGTGATGATTCGGATGATTGGGATGATGGAGAGGATGAAAATGATATTGCTTGGTCATCTCCACGATTGATGCCGGAAGATGGTGCTCGTTTGGTTGAGCATGCACTCTCCCACTTTGAAAATCGTGTTAACGATCTTCAACACTATCAGGATACTCTGAAGAGAAAGGCTGACGATTTACAACGATCAATTAATGAGCTGGATGCTTGCAATCTTCCACCAGATCTGATCGAAAAAATCTGCAATGTCATGGATAAAGCAACCGTGTATAAGGTCGCAAGTTTGGCTATGGTTAATGTAAGTGTGGTGATTCTTTATAACAACGATTAAACCGCTATTATTGCCTTCAATCCAGCATGTCTATGGCATCTTCATGTTTAGACTCGTAATCATGTTTTCGTGTATCTTGAGCCTGCGAGTAATCTCACATTGCTAGGGCTCGTTTGTATTTAGATTTAAGGCCCTCAAAAATCTTTTCAAAATGAGTTTATTTTGGTTAAGTTCCATATAGTTTTCCAAATCGCCATTTGTTACACCAATTCCAATGCTGTTTACATTCCATTTAGAAGAATCCTTAGCTTTTTCATTCCACTTTCCAGTTTTGCATCATGCCGCGTTTGGTACATGACTTTATTGGGGGTTGCTTTGTTTTCCCTAAAATGTTATATGCTGTTGTAATGTGTCGAGATTTTTGCTAAAGTTAAAGTCTTACTAAATATTTTGCAGTCATGCTCTGACTTTCTGGGCTTTGCCAGAACTCAGACAAAACGTTGGCGCCGTATCTTCAATGCCCAAGTCGATCGTCGAGCACACTTGGAGCAAATGATTGAAGAGCTGGCCAAACAAATTCGCAAACTGGAAATTCAAGCCCGCAACAAGTCGGTCCATTCAGGTGACGTTTTTTGTTTTTATTATTACCATTCCGAGGGTATTTCAGTTAACATTGACAATCTTGCCTCATGCTTTTTCCTAAATTCGCATTCTGTTTCTCTTCGAGAGAACTCTTCTGCTCAAAACTCATGGAAAAGTCGTGCTATCTACGGTCTCATTTACTTGTCTTCATTTTGATGTTTAACCATGGTAGGCTGTGTACCATGTGCAAACATTTGCTTAGTGATTTTAATTTGATCGGGGAACGTCTCAGGCTACTGACATTTAATTTCGTGCTCTCATTTGGAAGTTCGACTGAATTGAATTACGGGTGTGTGTTCTAATTTACGCATTTTGAAAATACTTCGTTGTCTCCGATGCATGATCTGTCCGATTAGCTATATCTAAATTAACGCAGGTATTTTATTAACGGTATTTTTAGAAGCAAAATCTACGATACCACTGTGTTGGTTTGACTTTCTACAATGCATTTTATATATGTTGAACTACACAGCTCGTATTATTGTCAGGGCATTTAACTTAGTAATGTCACTGGCAAACTAACGCTTTCCAAAAGGGAAGGTATATTACCTTGAGAACAATTTATTTTGCCATAGCAACAGCTGTAAATGGGTCAACTTCAGAATCGTTCACTTGTATAGGGGATGATTTTATCGTATATGTTGACCTCCGCCCTAATGCATTTGACCTAAGTAGGTCTGAACTTACCTCAAGCGTGCTGAATCATGCGCGCAAAATCCTACCGTTTTCCGGCTCTGATTTATTTCAGTTAACAATTCTACATCAATTTGTTACTGTAATTATTATTTGCCTTTGATTGCGACAAATTTATTGATAAGTTCTCACTTTTTTATTGGTCATGAGCCAGTGACTATACGTTGTTCTCAATAAGCACTTTTATTCCTTTTGTCGGTTTGACATCAATGGTTACTCTCTGGTCAACCTTTATCTCCATTCAAACGGAGCCGGTTCTATAGGAGCAAAAAAGTGCTTAATTTCATTTTACTGTACTCACAGTCATTCACTGTGGTAGCTGCTTCTGTTGGTGATGGCTACCACAGAACATTGTGCAAGCTTCTTGCAAATAACTTTTTAAATTCACCGTGAAAGATTGATTCAGGTGACTCGAGTGATGGGGATATTCTATCTTAAACGACAAGCAGAAATGCGAGTTTTTGATCCACTTTAGCGAAGAGCCATTGGCGCTTAATGAAAGCTGCATTGGTTTACACTCGATTTGCAGGATCATGGGCAATTCCAGGACAAGCCGTGCTGGTACGTCGCACCTCGACGGAAACCACTCGCACACGTTCGACCACACTGGGCACGTGCAGCGGTGGTGGTGCCGGTCTCCCGCCCTGTGCCTCCACCGCGGTCTCCAGCATCACTTCGGACGACGAGGACGACTTCTATGACGCCCAGGATGTCGAGGACTGTGAATTTGATGTTATTCTGCCCACTACCTCGACTTCTGCCGTCACAGAAAAGCCGTCCATGATCAATGCTGCCTCGCCCAGCTCTACAGCCTCCATCCCAGTGGGTACGGACCTCGCGATGGAATACGAGTCGGACACCGCAGACTCGGAGCTGGAAGGAGATACTGATGAGACGGAAAAGGGGCAACAGAAGTTTCGTGGAAAACAGGCGCATGTCATTCAGAAACATACTTGGGGTAGAGCTGGGTGTGTTCGTCCTCCATTTTATTGTTACACATTGGTACTTATTAGGCCAATAAACATCTACTTTGACCAGATGAGATTTCTTTCAGATTTTGAAATAGTTGCAGCAAAGTTGCGTTGAATGTGTTTGCATTTTTTGTTTAAAGGGGTCCAAGTCAAAGCAACTGACCATCATAGCCTTACGATATTTCTGTAGGCTTTTATATGGGCATCACTTGTACTTTTCAATTTCAAGTTCATACTATGCCTATCTACGTACCCTCTTGTGATTGATATTCTAATAATCTAGTTTAAGTGTGGCCTTGCTATTCTTTAGCAAAGTTACATACCTATGTGTTTAAATTATCCCTGGTCCACAGAATACTGGATTCTTATATAGTGGGGCCGTTGTATCTAAGGCATTTTTTGAATAAGATGCCTAGCATGGTTTTTTGGTTTGCTTTTTATGTGTATTGATTGTGAATTTATTAGTCGGTGGATGATCGGGTAAGTGTATTTTTGGGTTCCTTTATGATTGTGGGTCCACTGTATAATTTTCTGTGCGTTTTCATCTGCGTCTTATCTAGCGGGACACAACAATAGTATCAAAGCTGCTGTGCGTACAAAATAGGTTAGCGTAAATATTTGGGTGTTGTAGTGGTAAAGGCTGATATTCGCGCATTACGTAGAGAAGTACGCACTACGAAAAAGAGTGGCGGTATCTGAAATCATTTACTACGTAACTAGCAACTATGTGACGGTGTATCTCCACTGCCCCTTAGTCGAGCCTCTGCACAACCTGAGTCACCCCCTAGCGTCGCCCCGGGGAAGGTTGGCGCCGAGGCAGGAACCTCGGTGGCACCCGAGAGACGCATCATCCCCGTGCGTAAGCCCGTACAACGAAGAACCACTATCCCTCCAAAGCCAAACATTAGTCTCAACCTCTGGAGCATCCTCAGCAACTGCATTGGAAAGGAGTTGACCAAAATTCCCATGCCTGTACGCGCGGCTATTTTCATAGCCTTCCTGTATGCATTGTTGTCACCTCAAAAGAACTTTCTTATCACTCCTTTTCTAAAAAATTATGCAGGACAACATTAACAGCAAGTTCTTTAATCATTTGCTTGTTTCTTTTTCAAAAAATAAGAACCTTAGTAAGATATTGTTGGTTATAGGTGAACTTCAGTGAGCCGCTTTCGATGCTGCAGCGCCTGTCGGAGAACTTTGAGTACTCCTACGTGTTGGATCGGGCGGCAGCATGTGCAGATCCGCTGGAGCAATTAGCCTACGTCTCCGCCTTTGTGGTCTCCTCCTACGCGAGCACTGCTCTGCGCGTGAACAAGCCATTCAATCCCCTTCTCAACGAGACCTACGAGTGCGATCGCACCGACGACCTTGGGTGGCGCTCCGTAGCTGAACAGGTCAGTTTGCCGTACCTTCTTCATTTCATGGTTAAGTTACAGGATTCGTACGAATAATTATTTATTCAGAGGATTCTTAAATCCTTTAATTCCCGCTGATTTAACGTGGGAGGACGCTTTTTTTCATTCTCCAAAAATTACCCAATCCATTCTTTAGAGAGCGGTCACTGGATGAAGAAATCATTTGCCATCATTGAGGCGTAATTCTTAACACAACTTTCTCGTATCGAGTAACGTATGGTAACAGTGGCACAGGAGTCGTTTTTTGATGTAACAGATGAGCAGAATTTTTGTACTGTTTTCAATGTTTCGCTGTAATGACTTATTGTGACTCGTAGAGACTTGTAAAATGCAATTGTGTGTACAGATCACAAAGTATAGATAGGCATCAGTTTGTCCATACAGTCCTCTTCGTGTTCTATTGCTTTTTATTCTGGATTTATATGCCTATCATATCAGTGGAACCTGATGTGATTCGAGCTTGTTCACTTTGGGCATCTAGGATTGTAGCATTGTGTGCAGTCGCAGAGTTAACTCTACTATTGGCAGTTGAATGTTTCGGAACCTAACTCATCCCATTATTAGTTTAGTGGTTGCCAAGGTAAGCGGTATGGTAGGCATACAACCTCAAACTTCAAATGCTGATTTATTTCTCCAGGTTAGCCACCACCCTCCTGTTGCAGCGTTCCATTGCGAAAGCGATCTCTGGTACACCTGGTTCGACTTCTCTATTTCTACCAAATTCCGCGGGCGCTATCTGCAAATAAAAGTAAACGGTGTTTGTCACCTGGTCTTTCGAAAGACTGGCTATCACTACACATGGACCAAGATTCCTCTCACTGTGCACAACATTATCGTGGGAAAACTGTGGATTGAAAATAGCGGTGAAATCGACATAACCAACCACAAAACTGGTGACAAGTGCCACCTCACATTCAAGCCCTATTCCTACTTTTCCAGCGACATTGCCCGGCGGGTAAGTTTGGGCCCCACATTTTGTTCGGACGAAGGATATGAGGTAATCTTGCCTTTCAATTGTTTGTTTCTTTCAAAATGCTTCTTATTGCTCCTCATTCCAAACTGCAACTTTACTTACAAATTCTTGGCGAAATAGTGCTCCATTCACGGCTCCTATTGCCAAAGAATATATTTTTATTTGCTATTTTAGTTTGAAATCTTATATGCACTCACATATGCTCAACTTTGGTCTATCTAGGTGACAGGAGCAGTGAGTGATAGGTCGGGCAAAGTGCACGGCATTATTAACGGCACGTGGGATGAATTCATAGAGTACGCACCAGTGGTGACCAATACACTCTCCACTGGCGGTGAAAAACCTATTCTGGAGACTGGACCACCCGTTCAACTGTGGCGCGTGTCGCCTCTGCCTCCGGAGGCTGACAAAATGTACAATTTCACCCAATTTGCCATCCAGTTGAATGATAGGCCGGATAATGAACCCAACCTTTGTCCTACGGACAGTCGACTGCGTCCCGACCAGCGCCTCATGGAGGAGGGGCTGTGGGACGAAGCCAACGTTGAGAAGGTTCGTCTGGAGGAAAAACAGCGTCTTCGTAGGCGCCAGATGGCGCTAAAGCTGATCAATAAAGAATCCTCAAGCGACGGCGCCCCCTCCACTGCCGGTACCAGTGCCTCGAGTGCCAACGTCCCCGCCTCACTAATGGGTACGCGCAGCCAATAATCCCTTGGTTTACTTACGAGGCGCTCTGCGCAGCCTCCACGCCATCCTCAAACCTAGGAGCTGTCCCACTATGTCACCCACCTTCACAACTAGGCTGTTCGGTGTTTTTCACCGGTATAGAACGCCTTACAGGTCTCCGTATGTGAATATTCCTCCCACCTAGATACCCTCGACGAAGCGCACAAGCCGCTGTGGTTCGAAAAGGGAGTTGACCCCGACACCGGACTGGAAACCATGAGGTTCACCGGAAGGTACTGGGAATCCAAGGAGAAAAATAACTGGTCCATGTGCCCTGATCTCTACTAAGCTTCAGATATTACTACTACTGCCACGTTTTGTGTAGAATTTATAAACCAGTCCCCATCTTTTCGATTGATCTTTTCTGAATTACCATCCCTACCTCCGCTACTTGCTTTATTTCCATATTTCAGTTGAGATATCATAACATGTGCCTAGACGGTATGTTCTTCATACGGCGTAATGTGTGCCATGTCACAAATCCTGGGTAGACAAGGAAAGCTCGAGTGTTACAATTATGTATCAATGTAGTCGAAATTATCAGGTATACGGAATTGTTTGGCGAGAGTAGCATCATCAATGCCGAATTTATTCTTTATCCAACCGGTAACTTGGAAGACGTTGTCTGAAAAGAAGTTAACTAAGAGACCAGGTTTACCTGTCCACCGATTGGCGCATTCAATGGCGGATTCTGTTTGCGACCTCAACTCACTGATACGACTGGGATGGTATCGTTGAAGGAGTGTAAGGCTGCCCTTGAGTTTCTCCAGTGTCAACTGGTTCGAACCCAGTGTGGATAATGCTTCTTCTCGTTCAGTCTAAAAAGTGCTTTGTAAGACACAGGGTGCCTACCGTTTCTTCCTTATTTAGTCTAGCTTTTACAAGCATTCTCTCCATGTCTTGGAAACGAGACTCTAAACGAAGTATTTCAGATTGCAGATCCTCGATCTTTTTACGCCTCTTAACAAATGAGTTTAGACAAAGAACCGTACAAACATTTTGACCCGCCTTGCTGAGAAACGCCCAAAAATAAATCGAGGTGCCAATTTTATCGGAATCAACTAGGCCATCAGAAACAAGACTCATCAGGATATCCTTAACTGTCATCGACGGTATGCCTTTTTCTTTATGGGAGAGCCTTTCCAATTCCCTAAGAGTGAAAAACTCATTCTATAACTGTAGCTAGATTTGTCTCATAGTTAACCTTCTCGTAGAAGAGTTCCATCATCTTGTTACGTTTTTCATCCAAAGATAATCCGCGCCTTCTTGACATTGGGAACCAAAGCACCAGCGTCAGAATCCGCGGCGAGCAAGCAATAACTTTCAGTAGTCAAACAAATAAAACAATGGGTAGTGAAATTAATCACTGCGCTGTTAGCGTTTAAAATTAACCACAAAATATATGTACATGTGACAGACCATAGTCTCATGACTTATTAAGTACTGATGTTAGAGTAATGTTGCGTGCATTTTAACTAATGCTACTGAAAGTTTTACGCCTTGCATTAAAATTTAAAAGCATATAGCTACAATGAGTTTCCAAAATACTGTCATATAAGTCGAAAATTGGTAGCTTCATTCATCGATTTTTATAACAGCATTTAGAGCGAAAATAGCCTACTTTAATTTTCTATGCAAGCAATGGTGAATTAGCTTTGTAAAGTTTTATGATACACTGATAATGGAAACGCCTTCTTGTTTTAAGCGTCATTCGTTTCGCGTGGGAGGCTTTCCAGTTGCGTGGTTGTGGAATGGCCCGCAGTCAGAGAGTCAGGCGTGCTACGCGGAAGGATGCAGTTACCCGCGAATATACGATCAACTTGCACAAGCGCATTCATGGTGTAGGATTCAAGAAAAGGGCTCCGAGAGCACTGAAGGAGATTCGTAAATTTGCCCAGAAAATGATGGGCACTGATGATGTACGCGTCAACGTGCGGTTAAATGAGTAGGTTTTGTCGGTTTAACTACTTAGTATCGAGGTTTCTGTGGTCCAAAGGTGTGCGCAACGTCCCTTACAGAGTACGTGTTAAGCTCGCGAGGAAGCGCAATGAAGATGAGGATAGTCCTCATAAATTTTACACACTTGTATCCTATGTTCCTTGCAGTGATTTCAAAGGCAAACAAAACATTAATGTAGAGCCGGAGAAGTAGTTTTCTTGAATAGATAGTTGGTATGAGGCTCAAGTTTTCTGTAAATGTGGTTAGTTCTAGTTTGCGGTGCCCTTGTGATTTGATGTTTCTGCGTTTTTTGAATCGTAATCCCAATAATTTAGTGGAAGGGTAACGACTCGATTCACTCAATGCGACCTTGTGGGTTTTAAATGTGGTCGTTTGAATTACTTCCCTTGAGCTCTACGAATAGGAAACGTGCTGCCCACTGATTTGTCTTCGGGGGTGTTCTTTTTGGCGGTTGACAAGGGGTATTTGGGGATATTCCTTCATTCGCTTCTCGTGATGGCGAAGGCCTCAGTAGTTTTGCGGCTGTGCTGCAGCTGCATTTGTTGCGCCGGTGAGCACTACCAAGTTCCCGCAATCTGCGGTTCTTTCTTAACAGCGACAATGCCGGACGTTATTGTTCCGTGATTGGGTACTAGAGGTGCAAGCTCTTATATTAAAGGAGGCAGCGGAAGCATCCGTTAATTTCGACTTGTAGCGTATGAGTACACTGCTTTAATTGGCAAGGTTCCGCCAATTTGCATTGTGGCTAAGGCTTGGATTGAGTCTGGCTTTGCCTGCTGCGGTGGTTAGGTGACTGGATTTGCTTCTTCGGTGTCGGGTCGTCAGGGAAAGCGATGAAGATCGTTTTACCCTGGATTTGTTAACCGCCTCACAATAGGTGTCAAAGCCCCAGAGCTGACACTAATTTCGGTCAAGTAGCATGTAGCAGTGCGTGAGGTAGTCTGCATTGGTAGTTGGAGCCCGTGTTGCCTTTTATGCTTGTCTCATCAGCGATCGGTGTTTGTGTTGCCGATGCACGTGGTGACAATTGAAATTCGGCTAAGTCGTGTCCGTGCACCCTTGTTCTCATGTTGATTGTTCGTTGTAGGTGTGCGGCGGTCCTCATTACGGCTCACAAAATTTGCTGTCAGTAAGTGAGGTCATTTTTACAAAGATTAATTTGCCATTTATAATTTATATCTCGTTTATGAGATTATTAGCATCGCACAGTCGTCAAGTGCCTCACGTACAAAAGATTTATTGATATTGAGTGGACCGCTTTTTTATTTCCCTCTGTTTTAGCCATTTCAAAGAATCCCAGCAACTGTGCTCCAGAACATCTCCAGTTTTTTGGATTACATCAGTTGGTACAGCATTCAGAGCATAGATTCGGCGTGGCGGGCTTACCCACCACGTGTCTTGACTTTCGTCGACTCCTCATCCTCCGAAGATTTTTGGTCGTCGTCCAACATCAAGTCTCAGTGTCGCTTTCACTCGATCTGCAGTGACAGCTTTTATGGTGGTGTAGTGAAGCCGGGTGGCTCTTGCAGTGTCCTACTTCGAATCCTTAGACTTCGTCCGAAATGTTTCCTCAAATTGACCCACATTGATCTAACTGGTCAGTGTCAGCACCCGCTTCAGGTGACAAGTCTCTTCTCAACCAGGACGGTTGTTTTGTTTCCTTGTCTTAAGTCTGTCGCCCTTCGACTCGTGATCGATCCTCCATATCCTCATGCTGGACAAAATTCTACTGACAAATCGATGGCTCCTCCCAACCTGGAAGATTTAGCTCTTAGAATAACCTGCTGTTTCCGTTGTGAAGACAATGCCCTTGATTCGTTGCATCCACTCATAACGAAGGTCAAGCGATTGCAGTGGATTATAGAAGATGATCCGATTAGCAAGTTTATTAGTCGGTTTCCCTGGCCCCTTTCTACATTGCAGGATCTGGAAACGTCAAAACCGATTATAGATCATATGTCTGCTCTGTCACGAAATAATCTGCAAGTATTGATGCCCAACCTTATTTGGGTAGCAATCCGTACTGATGGTAGTACTTTAACCATTGGTGGAAGAAATAAGATTAATGATTTTTCAAAAACATACTCACATCTGGAACCGATTGTTTTGCGTTCGTGTATGAATAGCGTCTATTTTAAAAGTGCTCTTTTGACAGAAAGGGTTGAATATAAGGCACACAATATGTTAATTGCGGCGGACGACTTGCGTGCTATGGGAAATCTTGCCAATGTTACTGCTTTTACTATGCGATGCTTGTCATGGAATCTTGAAACATGCCGGTGCTTAGAGTTTTTCCCAGTTCTTAAAAGTTGCGGTAAACTTGTTGATCTTACCCTCCCAAAGGAGTTGCTCATGGCATGGTCGCAAGACATGAAATTCCGAGAGGCGTTTATTGCTATGTCAAGAGTTTACTGTTTCCCTTCCGTGCGTCGCCTACATTTTGCCTCGTGCGACCCAATTAGCACTATAAATTCGGTGGCTTCTCCGGAAATTTTGGAGGGTGAATCGTGCGACAGCATTTTTGTGAATGTGTTTCGGATATTTCTGAATGCAAAAACCCTGATTATTGACCCTGTTCCTTATTTCCATTGCGGCTCAGCATTTCTTCATTTAACTGCCTTTACACAACTCAAGAAGCTGCTGATCGCCCATTCTCGTAGACTATGCTTTGACACGAGTACTCGTCGCCTGGGGCTGTGGAAGTGGTTGCCGGGGTGCAAAACGTTGGAGGTTTTTATGCTTTACACTCAACAACTTAACTGGCTAGAAGAAAGAACAGACAACGGCTTGTTGCTTTGTATACAGAAGAACCAAAGCCTGAGGTATGTATGCATAATCTGTGAACTACCTCGAGGTTCCGAATCAATATCGTTAACAATGGCTGACGTGAGGAGAGTCGCAAATTGCTGGAAACAGCGAGACAAATATCAAGGAAAATACGCCATTTTTATTTTCAAATTAACGAATGTTCTCTGTTGTCTGACTGCAAAACCAAAAACGAGAAATTGTAGGGGTGCTCATGTCTTCGAGCGCCATGAGTTTTATCGGTGGAGGGACCTCATGTCGGCCTATCCCGAGCTCTATTCCGTGTTCTGGGGTGATCTGGCGAGTGTTCTGAAAATTAAAGAATTCAATTAGATCTTTTGCGTTTTCCTGAAAAGTATGTAAAGTAGGGAGTATGTAAGTACAGTATTTCTTGGTTGCAGAGAAGGGAGCATCATCTAGCAGTGGTGTTGGGACCGTGACTTTGAGGGGTGGCAAATATGCTAGGCGAATGACGATAAATTGTCGCAGTGGTTCTGTGTTTTCAGCGGCTTTCCTTCATTAATGTGACAGATTCGTGGTCGGGGTTGCAGGTCTTCTTGGTACTTCAGGTTTTGCCTCGTGATTAGTGCACTTTGTTTGTCTCGATGGTTACGACGGTCTTAAGTTGCGGAAATCCAGCAGTTCGTCAGCTGTTCTCCCGTAAGGAGCTTTTCGGGGTGTAAGACATCCAGCATTCACAGGAACGCAGGTTTGGTGCAAGTGTACTTGAACTTAATTATTTTAGAAGCATGTGGGCGACTGGTGGATTCCGGAATTCGGTCTGCAGCGTGAACGGTTGGAGAGGGGCTGCTGATCTGTCACTATGGCACTGCTTGTGAAATCGTAATAGCCGGGGTATTATACGTTAACCCGATCCACTGATATTCAGTGCACCAAGGGCCGAGCGCGGTCTATGCGGCAATGATCGTCCATTATCGGTGAGAAGCAAGGAACAAATAAACTATCAATATAATGGAACAGCAGAGTATACGCAAAGTATAATCCTTTGTTGAAATGCTCGTGCACTTCAACCTCCACAGGTTGTGATTTCTGTCTGTTCCATAGCTTAAAGGCCATGCCAGTAAACTTCTGTCTCTTCCGTTCGTTAGTAGCATATAGTCTTAGATACCGTTGCGGCTTTTATGTCTTCGGTGAACACTTGGAGCGCTGAATTGGTAGTAGATAAAAGCAAATCCGATAGCCTGATTTCGGTGGATGAAGACCCTTCTTA